ATCAGTTTAAAATTTCTTCTCCCTGTATTTACCGATATTTGAGTAAGCATTAAATCCACTACGATGGTGATTCATGAATTAATGGAATATGGAGATATGATCTATTTTTGGTGTAAAAGTAAATCTTTCTGAACATATCTTAGGCCGTCCAACGTTATATCTATGATTAACGTCACTCGCGGGCGTTAGTTTGGGAAAAATTGTCAGTTTGAAAGAAAAAAACAAGCAAACAAACAAACAAATAGTTTATAGTAAGTTTGTATTTCGATTTGCTTTTACTTTTAGCAAATAAAAACTGCATTCCTTTGGGTCCTGTATGAGGTATATTTGAGATGAGTCTGTCATTTATGCTGACAGATTTACTAAAAATGATCATTAAACAATTAATCTACAAGATGCACTAATATTTACAGTATTTTTTTTTTCATGTACTTGAGTAAATACTCATTCCCTGCCTAGAGTTCCGCTATACGGTATTTGGAATTTCCGTTATTTTTAAGAAAGAGGACAAAATGGACAAGATTTGTTCAATTGTTGACTATATACATGTAATTTAAAGAGCGCAAAACTGCTCCGTAACAGTATATTTCATTGAAATTATCATTCCTCACATTACTGTATACCGTTTTATTTTCGCCCCGTGTTATTTTCGCCCTTTCACACTTGCAAAAATTTTGCCCCGTTTTATCAAAACAAAGCTCGCTCGACGAATTTTAACCAAAATATTAACGTATATACATTTTTCCCGAAAATTCATTGAAATTTTGAATTTACGTCATTTCCAGAAATTAGAAGTTAGAGATTTCTCCATCAAAGTTTTATTTACGGGACAAATATTGGGCATTTTAGAGTATAATCCTTGGGTATAAAGCTTCTATGAGTACAGGGACACAAATTTTGAATTTCATCGCTCTCTGCCTCCTCGGGGTCGGAGTAGCAGGACCAAACCATCAAAATTAATGCGTTTTTCATAAATCCGTTTCTCTACTCCTGGACATCAAGCAGTCAAACTGTAAACATGATAACGATAAGTAAAGAGCCCTCTACCAAAACTATAAAATTCATGGCCCTTGGATTCAGGGTCGATGAAATGTTGAAAATACATTACATCTTAAAAAATCTCCTCTTTATTGTGGACACTGAACAGGCAAACTGTTTGCATGAATCTAATGAGTACTCGCACGTTTACCAAGATTGTAAAATTCACACCCCATGGATGATGGGTCCATGGTTCAGGCACAAGAGGGTGGGAATTAGTTAATCATATATTGAAATTACATTATATTTTTTTAAGTCTTCTTTACTCCTGGACATTTTAAAGGCAGTTTACAAGATGAACTCTTAGGCTTATACCATACTGTGAAATTATATATCACTCTGGTCTATGGTTCAGAGCTAAGATACCAGGTAGTCAAATAGTGAAAAAAAATTCTTCTTTTAAATAAAAGACATCTAGTGGGCAAACAGATTAAATGATTACAATGTGTGCATAACTCTTTATCAAAGTCCTAAAACTCCTGTCTCCTGGGTCAGCGTTCAGGCCCAGGGTGGGGTTAAATTGATCATACATTGAAATACTTAACACCTTTGAAAATCTTCTTCTTATCCCATAGACGTCTAGCAGATAAACTATTTAAATGATTAAAATGAACACTTAGTCATTTACCATAACTGTGAAATTTATGGCTCCATGGGTCCAGCGTTCAGGCCCCAGAGTGTGTCATCTTTGACAAATACAACTTTGAAAATCTTCTTTACCCAAAGATGTATAAAGCAAACTGTTGGCAAGATTACAGGGAATACTCAACGCTCTACTAAAACTACGAAATTATGCCTCTTTTTGAAAACTCAACGATCTCGGGGTATGTGTTAGAGTGGCTTTTTTTTTGTTTTGTTTTATGAGGGGGTTGGGTGGTCTCCTGAGAACGAGCACTTGCACATGCATTCTGGCTTAGTTGAGCTATAAACAAATCTTCATGATAATCACAATCAGTGTGGGTTTCTTCCCCTAAAGATTTTTAGCAAGGAAGCTAGATCTATTTAAATTGGTCCAAGTTGAGAAAAATCGTTTTTGAAAATTTAACAGACCAGGGTACATTTTTGTGGGGGCGGGGAGGGGGTGTCTCCACAAGTACCTGTGCATGAGTTGTGGAAGATGAAATATACTTAAAGCTACCTACATGTATACAGAAGTTGAACTGAAATTTAGGCGCGAAGAGACGCACTTATTATCTTATGCAAAAAAAAAAAAAAATCAAAGTGGCGCTTTCTTATCCTTCGCATCTTTGAAAAAAATGCAGTGCAACATATGATGTTCTAGATTTTGTATTTCTCTACACCAGTAAATTCAAAATTTAGAACATGACATCAACATCAAGACCAATTCTTGATTTTTAACTTAAAATACATTTTAGCCTAAGAAACCATCAACAGGGGATTTATGTGTGAGGGGCCGTTTTGGTATTTACTGCCATTAAATGATATCACGAATTTGAATAGGTGATATCACCTATTCGAATTGGTGATATCACCTATTTTAGCTTTTGAATAAGTGATATCACCTATCAAAACAGGTCTTATCGCCTATTCATTTTGAAATGGTGATATTTAATATCATCTATTCAGACTATATATGAATGAAATAACAATTGCTCCCAAGAATGTACAAATACTGTATACATTTACCTTATACATGTGATACAGGGGGTAACATTTCAGTCTCCTTGTACATAAGTTATAATATAACGAAGAGAAAGTATCAATAAATATAGCAAAACTGACACAGGTAAAACTTGTATAACTTTGCATGGGTCGATAACACGTTTTTTTTAATTGTCCCAGACTTAAACACAGGGGAAAAGGGCAGTCCGAATTTAGGGTCAATGCATGGAAATCTAGTTTTTCATAAATAAGATCAGATTGTTATATATGGATCATTTTTGTGTACATCTAAATACGAATTGTGTACCAATCCCCTTCTTTTGTGCCAAAAAGAACTTAAACAAATTTTCCGTTTATTTGATTAATCAATACTGATATAGTAGAGAATGAAGTTCAACAAGTCCAGAGAATCGTTTATAATCTTTTTTCAAAGTTTGTTTAAGAGTAACGAGAGCACTGTAACATTTTTTGAATAGAATGCCAAGAAAATAAAATTGTTCTTCGACTGTGCACTGAAGCTAGATTGTCTTAAAGAAGGGATTTTCATTATTTAATGTTGCAAGAAATGCAAATAGGTGATATCACCTTTTCGAATTGGTGATATCATCTATTCGAAATACATGTAGATAGTTTATATTACCTATTTGAATATGTGATATCACCTATTTGAATAAGTGATATCACCTATTGAATAAGTGATATTACATATTTGAATAGGTGATATCACCTACTTGAATAAGTGATATTACATATTTGAATAGGTGATATCACTTAAAGGCAATAAATACCAAAACAGCACCCCATAGTTATGGTTACCATTTACTAAAGTATTTGAATTTTAGCCCATATTTGAAAAAAAATGTATAATAATTTTCTTTTATTTAGTTAAAATATTACAATATAAGTGCAGTAAACGATACAATTTGCAACAATTACTTTGTGGCGAAACATCAATAAATACCGTACAACTTACAACACTGTTCCGTCAGAGAAGGCATTGGACAAACAGGTGACGTCTGGCTATCACATCAAGAGCAATTAAACTGTAAACATTGAAATGACCATATAAATATATACAACAGCCAAGACAACAAAAAACATTATTATATATAATCCAGTGACTGAGTGATCACTCCCATATCCATCCAAAAAAAGAGGAAAAAGGTCGAACAGGATATAACGGACCACTGAAACTTTAAAATAATCTGTTTCTTGACAGGTGCTACTACAACCCATAACACCATCTCCACGCATGAATGTTACCCCCCACCCTCCCCGGTAAAATGAAGGGCCAAGCCTCCTTCAAAGGGAGATAATCAAAAAAAAAAAATAGGTTGGGGTCATTAAAATCTCTTCAAGAGCCACTGTACCATAATAGAGGAAACGTGTGGAAGGTTCCGTAGTGAAGATTCTAAATTGTTCAGATCATGACACCCGGGATAGGGTAGAGCCACAATAATCTGTCCTTTACTGGCATGAAATAAATAACTGCACCCCATCGAATCAAAAGGTCGTCCCCTAGCTACCACACGTGCAAATTTAGTTTTCCAGTTTCATAAAATACCGATTGGATCGCTCAATACATGTATAATAATTGCATATTAGAAAAAAATCAATACACGTGCACATATATAAATCTACTATTACAGAGCATAGAAATCACAGCTCTCAAAATATTCAAGTTTAAAGACTTTTTACTTACCCTCTTTATATATATAGACGATAACGGCGCCGTACATCTGATAGCAAATGATGGAGTGGACTCTAGTGGTCCCTAGTCAATCAATATAGGTGGTCAGTTGTTCGATGGAGCAACTGGTACAAAACGTCATATGATTTATGAATGAAGTCACTAGAATTGTGAACAAATACGCAACTAATGGACGAGACATAGCTCGTTAAACATTTACAATACCATCTCCAGTCCATATAAAACTTAAAAGGGAACATATTTGATTCTGAAGGGGGGGGGGGGGCTTGCAGATTTTGGAAATAAATAATCTGTCCTGGAAAATGTTGGAAATAAATAATCTGTCTTCCAATGGCAAGAAAATAAATAATCTGTCCTTGACTGGTGCTAGCACCCCCCACCCCCAACAAAATAGAGTTTGGGTGTTTTACCTTTACCTTTTTGCTTGTCAAAAATTTTTCAGTGAAGAAGAAAATAAATAATCTGTCCAATGGTCGTCCCCCAAATAGCTGTGGAAAATTGACCAAAAGGTTCACTTCTTCAATTTGTTAAGACATTAAATTATTGTATGATATGGATGTCCTTTCATGGTTCTTGATTTCTTGATGTACATGTATTTCCAGTGCTGGTTATAATAAAACAATGAAAGTAGACTGAATGCCTTTATTTGCATAAAAAAGCTTTTGAAAAACCATATAAAAAATTGTTCTTATTAAATAAAACAAAACAATGATATCACAGATATATAAAATAAAACAAAACATATCAACAAGTGAAACTGCATTTATCAACAAAATATGTCTCTCCTCTGAAAGAGTAACAATATAGAAAAGGAAAAATAAGTATTCACTGAACATGACTGAAATAATATCAAATGATGGGACCATTCAAGAAACAGATTCTAATTTTGCTTAATGTTTTCAAACAATTTGACTTGTATTTTACTGCACTTTTTAAATCTTTTAAATAAAATGGAACTCCAAACATGCACTATATGTAGAATACCAAGTGTATACAAGAAATTCAATTTGTAAGCTTCAAATCAAAGCATTGTAGATTGATAATAAACCTTTAAAATGAAAAAGTTCCAACTAAGGCTGATACTATAATACAGGGTATTTGTCATTTTAAAAGCCTGCTTTGGGTACAACAAGGTGAGAGTATCATGTTCAGCATGTAGGCATACATTGATTATAAGTCTTACTTCACACAGATTGATTAGAGCAGCTTTTTTATGAGGATTTGTAGAGGTCGTCCAGGGGTAACACATACAAGGTTAATACCTTGTCATCCTAAATATAAAACTAAGTATCAAACATCTGTATAAATAATTCTGATATCCCAGAATTTTACTGTGATTTGTACTAGTTGCAATAATGTAACCCTCTCGTTTTGTAAAAACAAAGAGGCTTAAGGGCATAAAAGGTCAGCTGAGTATGAAGCAATCCTGTAAAGGGTCCATAGAATGGCCAATTGATAATAATATAATAAAGCAATGTTGCTCACAAAGAAAAGAAATTGAGTAATCAATGATCAACAAAATAGTTTGCCTCAATATAATAATCTGCGATAACTTTGAAAGTAGATTTATTTCCTTGCCTGTATACGCCAGTGCTACCTTCAATGTGACAATATAGTAAAACTTTCTAATCTGGACACCACTGGTTCCAAAGAAATCGGCCAGATTAGTTCAATTCCAGTTTAGACAACTTTTTAAAAAATTGAATTTACTGACTGGGATTTCAGGTTTACAACTTATTAGGCAAAATTTTGGAATACACAAAATCCAGACTAAAACAAGTTTACCTGTTATGAATAATTATAAGTTATGATTCATAACTGTAATATAGCACATCAGTTTAAGTCCCTTCAATTATCCTATCTAGTAGCAAGACCTTTGCCCTAGGGTGATGCCTAGAACAATTTTTTAATCTACAACATATCTTCATCCTTGTGTGTAAGTTTGGTGATAATCTGACCAGTGGGTCTTGAGAGAAAGATTTTTTTAGCAACCATTACTTTTGTTTTAATTTTCCTAATTACCTCCCCTTGTTTAAAAGTCACATCCCTAGTTTCAATATAAATGAGAGCCTTGGGCCAAGGATACTCTGTAACAAATTTGACAAAAATTGACCAAGGGGTTCTTGAGATATGGCCCATATTCTATAAAGTTTATGCACATTGCACAAATGGCCATAGCATTAGCTCTTTGAGCCTTTGGCTCAGAAGAGCTAATTAAATGATCAATAGAGCCCCATCCTATTAAACACCAGAACCCCTAATCCAGGGGCCATAAATTTCACAATTTAGATACCGGTAGCAATATCCTTGCTCATCATAATCATACATCTAGTTTGTCCGCAATACATACTTTGGGGGGGGGGGGAGAAAAAAAAATATTCAAAAAAAAATTATGCATTTTTACTTTATGATAATATATAGCCCCACCATAACCCCTCATTCTGCGGTCCTGAATTTCACAATTTTAGTATAGGACTCAATGCTGATTACAATCATGCCAACAACTTGATTGCTTAATGTATAAGAGTAAAGAAGATTTTTGAAGATACACTAATTGTGATGGTTTTGGCCCTGTCCCTAAGGCCCCCTGGGGGCAAAAATCATGAAATTCACAATTTTTGTTCCCCTTTACCCATTGATTATATATGCCAAAATTGGCTAAAATTGGTACTGAGAACAGATAGCAATAGGTAACCTGAGTGACTAGTAACCTAAAAATAATGCCCTATTTAAAAAAAAAATAGAGAGGGCTACATTATTGCATTGAACTTTCTGCATATCGGTAAATTTGTGTGTATATACATGTACCTCTATTTAAGCTGCATTCATAATGAACAATCTAGTTTTTTTTCAGAAAAAGGTAAATTGTGTTTCCTAATTTCTACATACTTTTATAGTGCCTCTTTTTGGAGAATATGGAATTTTATTCCTGAACTGAACTAAAAATATATACTTTGTTGTTTTACCTTAACAACTGGAATATTCAATTAATCTTTAAATAAATAAAGTATGTGGACTACTTGTTGTTAAAAACTTTTTCCAATTTTTTTGCCAATTTTTTCTTGTAACCTTTTCCTCTCAAGTATCAAATTTTATAACTTTCTGGGGTTATACTAGTACCGCAAAAATCACATCAATATTGGTTGAAAAATTCTTCTGCAGTAATTTTGTAGTTTAATTTTACCATATTTCTAATTTAGCCAACAATAAAATATAACAAATGTTCTCAAAAGGCTGCTGGCCATTATTAAAAAAAACCAAAAAACAATGCCCTATTGTTACTTTATACATAAAAAGGTGTAAAACACATCTCCAAATACTTTTGTTCTTTCATTCATAGGGAGAGATGAAAATTCCAGATTAAAACAGGTTGTATTTGTTCTACATGATGAATAGGGTCAGGTAAAATTGCTCTTTGAGACATTTCAGTGTTAACTGTCTCCAGAGGAATATCAGCATGTATAACCTCCACCCCAGTATTTATAGAGGAGGCAGACTCACTAAGACTTCCTCTCTGTGATGTCATCCTGTCTATACTACCATGTGACCCATGCCTCTGATTTGATTGGTTAATATTTGTGCCCAGATTCTGTGTCAGTCCTTTAGAGTCTTGTTTTGATACTGCCCCTTGCCTGTGAGTAAACACTCTTGTAACATAACTTGATGATGTTGTTGAGCTCTTGTCTGGCAATGTCCTCTGTGATGCCGCTAACCTTTCATTGGATTGTTTATTAGGATTAGATTTCTACAATATAAAATGCAATTTTGTTTTTTCAAAAAATACAAATTTCACATTTTGAAGAAATTACATTTTTGAAATTAGTGTGTCAGACTCTGCAAAGCTTTACTTTCTGTGGAGGAAGTAAATTCAAACATCACACACTTCTCAAGACTAACATCTTATTATGTATTTAGAAAAAGACATTAAATATTTTATTTGTGTGTGTTTACCAATTAATGATTACGTGTTTAATCTATTGTAACTTTTACAATACTGGTTTTTACCTCTAGCATACTTGTTAGTTTTGGTGGAGCTCTTCTACCTTTTGGAACAGCTTCCAAACATACAAAATTTGAAGCTGAAAAATGTCAAAAAGTAATGAATGAATTGAGGAAAGAATTAAGATGCCCAGTCACCACAAGTATTTGTAAACATTAGATTTACCTTTAAAATGAAAAATACAAGTAATAATGATAAACATTTATTTAAAAAAAAAAGTCATACATGCTAGGAGATTGGTCTGAAGTTCTTTAGGAAGTATGCTCCAGTTCTCTGTGTTGACTATTTGATGAATATGCATCCTTAGGAAATTTTCACACATCCGAAGAAGTGAAGAAACAAAATTTTTAAATTCCTGTAAAAGGTTTGAAAAACAAGACATCAATATGTACAAAGTTTATTTACTTTAAAGAAAACATAAAATACAAAATGATCTGCTTAAACTCTTATAAATTCTTATAAATTTCCAGTAATAATGGATTCAATTGGGCGTAGTTAAAAGTTTTATTTCCCTTATCAACTGTTTTTGAGGGGTCTGCAAGAAGGAGAAACAAATACAGTAAGACACTATATTTAGCCTATTACCAAAATCTGATGAATTAATTTCTCTCAATAAATGCAATAATAATTCATATTTTCTTACCTCACTAATAGGGCTAATCTGCTGGCCCTCTAATTGGGTTAAACTATTGTTAATTTGGGTCAAACTGACAAAGGCTCTGCAAGCTGTCTTAATGGGTAATGACTTCACAACACTCTCAAATAACTCCTCTACCAATCCAACCTTGAAGGCAAGACCCTAATGGAGAACATTGTTTATTAAACACTCAATCAATCATTGAACAGCAGTCTCAGAGACACCACACGTACTATATATAACATTTTGAACTCTTTCTAGACGTCCTATTGATGAAGATTGTAAATCTGTCCAAGCTGCACTATCACTCAATTAATTGGATGTAACTATGAGATATGAATTCCCTACCAGGCATAAGATGTGCCAGAAACGTCCAACTTTTTGGACCACATTCTGACCTATTTTACATGTATTACATTTTTAATGTAATTTTCAATGATGAGATTTACATTAAAATTTACATGTAACTACTGTAGACAGTTGGCTCCAAATGCACTTATGAGGTACTTGCAATTACACTGATCAGTTGATGAGGAAGATTGTAGTAAATGTTGAGTCCACTATTTTATTTTATATTTACCGGTACAGTACCAATGTCAAAAGAAAAATAAATAAAAATTGTGATGCTTGTGAATCCAACATAAATGCCAAAAATAATGGATAAGAGTTAAAAATGTGTACAACCTTGTCTAGATTCATGAAATGTTCACTGTTGATGAGTTTATCAAAGTTTTGACTAGTAAACTCCACAGCACTGTCCATTAACAGAGTGACAAAATGAAGGACTGTCTCACACCACTTCAGATGAGGGATTGTTCTGTTCAGCTTCTGGCATTCCAGCATCACCTCAAGGACATTTGTGATGTCCTACAATAAGAAAATTAATGATTAAATAAAGATTATAACAAGTATGCACATTTTTTCTGTGCAACTTTGAATAAAATTAGATGCTAAACCATTGTTAAAGCAAAATCATCTGGATGCCAAATAATAGAAACAGAACAGACAATTGTATGTAGATATCAAAGATACAGTACAGTCTTTTACAGGCCATATCAAATTAACATCACAGTCAAGTACATACTTGTACCAATATCTAGGTTATAGCACAGTCATTTACATGTCATATCAAGGTTATAGCACAGTAATTTACATGTCAAATCAAGGTTATAGCACAGTTATTTACATGTCAAATCAAGGTTATAGCACAGTTATTTAAATGTTATCAAAGTTACAGCACAGTCATTTAAATGTCATACCAAGGTTATAGCACAGCCATTTACATGTCAAATCAAGGTTATAGCACAGTCATTTACATGTCATATCAAGATTATAGCACATTCATTTACATGTCATACCAAGGTTATAGCACAGCCATTTACATGTCAAATCAAGGTTATAGCACAATCATTTACATGTCATATCAAGGTTATAGCACTGTCATATACATGCTATATCAAAGTTACAGCACAGTCATTTGTTTACATTTTTTGCCATTTACAGTTAAGATGAAATTTTTCTTTAAAAAAACACATATCAAATTTGTTCCATACAGATGATATAATTTTTCTAATGCAGAATGAAATATTTTCACAACAAACCAAAATAATCCATTTAATCATGTGCAAAAAAATTTTGCAATAAGCATTTGAGCAATTTAATTATTTTCAGGAAGACATTTTCATTTTCCCAGCAGTAAGAGAGCCAACAGAATTCTGAACATATATCAATATGAAGCCAACCATATACATGTATACCAGTATATATATACATGTATATATACATGTACATATATATATATATATATATATATATATATATATATATATATATATATATATATATATATAATCCTGATTTCTGGGTTAGGGGACCAATGCCATGAAATCTGGCTTAAGTAGACAAAATTTATCTTTTTCCCCTATGCTTTGAAATAAAAACCAAATGCATTTTTGTTGGTACTTGGGCTTATTAATTACCATTTTAACGCTAAATTTTACAGAAAACTTGTAGGTAAAAATATACAAAAAAATTGGTCTCCCTAATATTTTGTAACCCTTTCACGTGAGTTAAGGTGACCAGTGTATATTTTCGTAAGTACTAAATCTGGCTTAGGTGGACATTTTTTTTTCTTACAGTTGTAAGGTTATAGTGAACTAAAATTTAACAGAGAATAGTTAGATGATTCAATTTAAGAATAATATACCGTGGCAGCACAAAATACTTGAAATCTTGCAAGGCACGATAAACAGGAACGCCAGTTACAATATGTACAGCTTCTTGCTGAAGTTTATCAGGCCTTTCAGAGCAGCTGCGGAGATGCTGTTCCATGCTTCTAAAGCATATTCCAAAAGTGGTATCGGTCTTACATGTATAAACGTAATACTAGAATACATTTAAGCTAAGAAGTCACGATACGTAACCCTTTTAATTTACCAAAAACTGCAATTTCTTTGGAAGCCTTTTATATAATACTGTCAGTGTGGTTTTTCCACTCCCCAGGGTTTGAGAATGTAAGTCCAAGATGATAGTGACCAAGAGAAGGATCGATTTGCTGATTATTCAACACTAAGTGCAATTATTTATTTTATCTTCATTGCTGAAAAATATTAATAATTTTAGCTTGGTAATTGGGATTAAATTTCACAAGTCGTTTTTAGCCATTCTTCATTTATAAGTCGTGATTGCTCAGCCTTTCTAAGTTCTGCACGTTTTGAAAGGTGTTTGACACGAACATGCATCATATGACAATATCCTAGAGGTACCCAATAGACCACCTGGTAGGTCTTGTATATCAAGTAAGAAAAGTTGAAGTCCAAGAATAGAGCCCTGGGGAACTCCAGCTTCCGTCCTTCTCACTAAATATACTGAAAATTTATTTTCGATCTGTTGCGATTGATTGAAAAGATAATTAGTCAACAAGGTACCAGGGTAAGAACTTCACCCGCAAATCTATGCTGTCTCTTGTTCTTTTAAACAAACCGTATTGAATGTCTTGCTGTTATCACAAAATGCAAAACAAGTTAATTCGAATTCTTTATTGTTTAACACAAACCATTTATTATGATAAATTTCTTTTAACTGGGTGACTGTTTAATGATTTCTTAAAAACCCACATAGGCGCGTAGCTGCCTATACGCAAATATGCAAGTGTATACACATAATTGTAAAAAATAAACAAATAAATATAATAGATGAATAAATAAATAAAATCTATGGGAGAGAGAGAGAGTTATTCGAAGAAAAAATCTCAGTACCATCCAACAAATATTCGGATTTCGAATTATTTTGTGTCATACTGCTGAAGAGCGCTTTGAATTTTATATAATCATGACTATATAATAAAATTTGAAGTCCTTTATTAAATCATTGCCAAATTTAAATAAAGCATTCATGAACTTGTATTCGTTCTTTGATACATTGATAATTTTTGATATTTTTTAAAGATCTTTGAGAAATTAAATTTCAGACACATTCTTGAATGTCATGATCTACTACATGTAGTATATGATTTAAAATACGATATTTTTTGTTAATAATTAACATTAAGTATACAAGTTGTTGAACGATAGAAAAGAGTATGATATCAAATATCGATTAGATATTTAGCTTAAACTACATGTACACTAAGTTTCCGTAGAAGTATTAACTTTGCGTTAAAACAATAAATATTATGTCTTCTATTTCTAAACAAAAGATAAATGACATAATTTTTATTTTGCAAGAAAATGAATGATATACATGTATTTGGTAAAACTCAGAAACTTCTGGGCCCTCACCAGCAGGCATGTAGTATGGGGGGGGGGGGGGGTCCCCTGCCTATTCTTTTCCAAACCTAACTTTTGACTATTGAAAATGTTCACTGAAAGGGTGGTTGCCCCCATCCACTTTTTGTTGTACATGTAGCATAGTTAAACCATGCTAATATTTTTAATATAGTTTTTTGTGAAAACTGGAAATTAACCCCCACCCCACCCCCGTCGTCCTCTTCGTATACTTCACTTTTATTTGGCTACGCACCTGCCATAATGTAGTTTGTATAACAATTTACAAAGTATTTGAACATTATATTCTTTCAAAGATTTTTCCTATGCAGCATAATAAGGATACCGGTATGTAATTAACTTGATGAATTTGTTTTAAAGACAGAAATCACATGAGTATGTTTCCAAACACCAGGGAATTGTCCGATACGCAAAAATGTTTCAAATAAAATTTTTAGCAAAACTGCAATTTTATTTCTAGTTTTTAAAAACAAAATATGGCTGAATATGTCGAGAAAAGGCTTTTAGGGATCTAAAATTTTAATGTCAATAGTTTGATACACACAAATAACTTTTTAAAATCGTGGAGCGATGACCTGGAGATAGCAAATGTATAGAAAAACGTGTGTAAATAAAATTTTGTAACAAATTCAAGGTAAATTTTAGTAAAACAACACACAATATCTGGAAAAAAAAATTCCCTTTCCTATATCCAAAGAACCCAATTCAACAGTACGTGCTGAATCTAATTCAAAAGCGCTATTGGTCTTTATAATTTTGAAATGTATAATATATAATAATGGGTATTTTTAGAGGTACACAATTATTTAACAGTTGCAAATAGTAGTTTCACATGCGCTAGTTTACTTATGGGCCCCCCATAAGTAAACTAAGTTAAAAATGGCCTAGCGGTTCCTGAGAAGTCGAATGTGAAAAGTTTACAGACAAGTGGATAGTCAGATGGGCAGACACTGGACAACAGGTGATCATAAAAGCTCACTTGAGCTTTCAGCTCATGTGAGATAAAAATCACTAAAGCTCACTTAAACTCATAATTTTTTTTTAAAAAGAAAAATGCCACTGTCATCACAAAATTTGGGGCACAAATTTTGATTTTACTCTACAACTTTGCAATTTTTAATGTCAACTTCAGACCATATGGTCAGCTGTATAATGTACATGTACATAATTACAAAATTCTCTTGGTCATTTCCAACATACATCTATCTACATTAGTTGACAAACCATTTGAAATTTGCATTCACATGTTGATTAAAATAGACTATTAGATGTCTCTAGCAGGCCCGTAGAATGCGGGGGGTGGGGGTTATAGTATTTTGCTATAGTAAGTTTCCCTTTAGATGCTGGATGCCCCCCCCTTTTTGATGTTGTAAGGTCCAGCACTGGCAAATTCCAGGATTTGGACAGTAAATCACCTTTTCTTTTTTGCTTGTCAGATAATTTCGGGAAGTCCCCCCCCCCCACTTTTGGTCAGTTTGGTTTTTTTTCTTGAAACTGTTGCTACGAGCCTGCTCTAGATAACTCACGAAAACAAAGAGTCAAATAATAGTTTTTAACCTTTATTCATTTGATCTAAAATTGACAGGTTAACGAAATAATTATATAGTACATGTACCAAAACTGAAAAAAAAAATTCTTGTCTTTTGCCACCACAGTATTTTTAAGGTCATATGCAATGTACATGCACTTTACAGTGAACCTTCCAACTGATAATTTTCAGAGAAAATATAATTGAAAATCATGATACCATTAGGTGTTCTTTGACAAAAAAAATCAGCATACATTACATGTATCAGGAGTTTTGAAAAAATATCAAATGATGAAAACCCTTGCATTTTTTAAAAGAAAAATCCCCCCCCCCCCCAAAAAAAAAGTTTTATGTGGTATTTTCTTCAAAATTTGATTCAGATAAGGTGTGCAAGCATTACCAGGTATCATAAAATTGCACAAAGATCTTTCAATTACTGGATTTCTTAAATTATAGAGAGAATAAGAAAATATAGTTCAAACTATACTGCGCATATCTTTAAGCCATATCATGTTAAAGACATGAAAGTCAAACACAAACTTCAGCAAACAGGA